TTGCTTCAGTTAGAACTTGCTCATCAGTGGGCAGACTTGACCTTTTTCTGTGATATGCAAATAAAATTGGAAATTCCCGAAGAATGTTTGACGTTCTATTGCAGGTAAAGGGTACATTTCCAGAGGTCTCAATAAGCAACGTTTCAGGGCACCGTTGACTTGTTTTCTAAGGTAAACATTTCGGGGCTTCCCGTCTGCGTTTCTGCTTCATTATTTAGTGGGTCTCTGACGACGAAGCAGGTATTTTGGATGGAAGTGCCAAGTTCCTCTTGCTGCATTATTGTTCCAGGTTAGTGACTCGCTAGGCTGTGAAACAGAGACGTGGATGTCGCACACGCAGTATACACTTATTAAAACAAGTTGGCAATGGCCATTCTCTTATTCGTCCTGATCGGTTACCTTTTCATTTGCGTACTGTTTGCTTTTACAATAATTTTTTGATTTATTTTTTCTTTTGAGTATTGAGCAGCTTTCTTCAAGGTGACATATGAATGTGGTTTCAGTATGAAAGCACGTCAACGAAATAAGAGTCTGTTTTACCTTCTTCCTCTTTCACCAGAACACAGCGGAACTGTGCATGGCCGCCTCATGCCACAGAGCACTTGGAGGAAGCATGGGCGTTCATTAAGACGCTGCTGGGTTATTTTTAATTTTTAACCAAAAGTCATACAAAATATTCATAGACCATAATGCCATATTACAAAGATCTTGGTACATCCCACACAGTAACCTAATATTTGTTGTCAAGTTCAGGTTTCCTTTCACTAAGTGGGAAATCGAATCAAAGGCAGGCTTCCATATGGTTTTTAAACCCATGTCAGATCAGCATCTCCAGATTGGTGGTTATCTCCAGTACACATCAGAACCTGAGTAGACATGTACAGTACTATTTTCCCAAAATGATGCTAAAGAATGTTTTAACCACTTCAAGACCAGGTGTTTAGACCCCCTTCCTGGCCAGGCCATTTTTCAGTATTCAGCGCTGCGGTACTTTGACTGACGTTTATTCCGTCATGCAACACTTGTCCCTATTGGAGAGATTCCCAGAGCCTATGTTCAACACTAGGGGAGGGGGGTAGCAGATAAAAATCCAACAAATTATAGTATTGTCAGCTCCAGGGTTTCCATAAACATCATAAAGAAAAAATTCCCCTTAGCACTAAGGAAATCCCTAGGTGGAGCTGATTAAGAATATCGTAACAGATAAATTCTTTACAAAAGTATTTAATGAAGTAGAAAAATATAAACACATAAATCACACAACACGAGCAATTAAAACTTTAAAAGATCATGAAGACTAGCCTGCAACAGCTATATGTGCGTGCATAAATCGTGACAGGATTTATTATAGTTACCCCTCCTGGGTGTCGAGCGGTCAGTGATGGATCAAATGCTGGAAAAAATGAATGCAGCTTTTGATTTAGGACAAAAGTCCATTCAATGAAATATTTCTCTGACAATCCAGACGGGTTTCACAGCCGGTTCAGGGTTACTTATTAACCTCTCTGAATCCCTGAAAGACAATTGTATCCGTTTGTTGTTACCAAGGTAGCAGCCGTTTCAGGAGGACATTTCAAATGTGCAGCTGACAATGAAATTCCCATCAGATCCTTTTCATGTAGTAAAGTTGTTACATCTTTGACAGTTTCCAAATGTGTCTCTTTTGTAGTGCGGCCGCACCAACTCACTGTATGAGGAGACAGGAAACACTTTGTATCCAAGCTTTTGATCCCGTTACCATCTATTGACATCCAAGCAGTATAGCTCGATCCGCTCTAAGGGTTTCATCAGGCCGTGCTTTGGCCATAAGTACAGCATATAATGCAAAGCTGTGGAAGGAGCTCCAGACACGCTATCCCTTACGCGTTTCCCCCCAGCAAAGTGGGGCTGTTCCGGTGTGAGGAACACAAGGCAACCAAAATACCATTTGTCAATTAAGGGATGCAATAAGTCTTTAACATTTTGGGTCATTCTGCACCTACAGGAGGGTTAGACATTGGCAAACAAAGAAACTGTAGGTTAGTCCAGGATAACTTCTCTTACTACCAGCGTTACCAGTGTAATAGGAGTATGGATATCTATTTTGCTTTCTACAGCTCTGCTCGGTTGAAGACTAAACAAAGTATGTGTGGGGTTTTTCTTTATATATTTTTTTTTCTCTACATTTTCTGCTGGACTTTTTCTCTACATTTCTGCTGGACTTTTTCTCTCCACTTGCAGCTATCTGGTGCATTGGTCCTCAGCCTGACCTCCTGAAGTAGAGATAGAACTGACTGATAAATGGACAGCAGATGGCGTTTACAAGTGTATATAATTAGGGCTGCAACCAACTTATCGATAATGAGAATTAATTGTCAACTATTTTCATTATCGATTTAGATGTTTGGACCCCCTAGCTCTCTCCTCCACGCTGGGAGGAGGGTACAGCAAGCTTTGGGCAGGTGCAATAGCCAAATGTCTTTTGCAATTTGAAATAGCCAATAGCAGACTTGTTATTGCACCCGCCCACTACCTGCTGTACTTACATTCAGCTGCCATCTGCGGAATCTTGTCTGAAGCTATTCAAGCGCCATGTGCTTACAATACAATTATTACCAAAAAATATATATAAAAGGTGGGGAAAAAATTAAATTTTCGGTTTCGGCCTGACAAATTCTGCTCCGGGAGGTGCATTGCAGTGCCATTCATTTCAGTGGCACCCCAAAGGCGTTGCACGCACTGGAACGCACAGTACCCCAATGCTGTGCATTCCAGTGCAGTGCGATTGCAAAAAATTGTGTGTGCATTTTTATTCTGAAGTAAACTTTGTTTGTAACACTGCATTTTGTGTATCATTTTTTTATTTTTTTTATTTTAAGAATGGTATCTATTTTTTTTTTTCTTCATCTGATTAATTGAAAAAATAATCGTCCAACTAATTGATTTATGAAAATTAGGGATGCACCGATACTAATATCGATATTGGTGCCGATCCCGAGTATTTGGGCAAGTGCTCGTACTCGCCCAAATGCTCCAATGCCTAGCCCGATACTTCCTGTAGCAGGAAGCCGGGCAGTGCGTCATTACACGCTGCCCGGTTTCCTGATTGGCCTGGAAGCGGCTCCATGCTCTCTCGTCACTTGTGATTAGAAGCGTGTAATGACGCAGCGCCCGGCATTCTGATTGGCCGGGAAGCTGGCTTCATGCTCCTTCGTCATCTCATGACGAGGGAGCATGGAGCCGGCCATGGATCAGGCTTCCCGATTGGCCAGCCAGGCGGCTCCGGCTGGGTACCGGGAGAAGGCCGCGTTCTGGCTGGAGAGGCCCCCGGGGGTGACAGGCTGGACATACCAAGGTAAGAGGGGACAGACTTTCTTGTTAATACTTCTTTTATGCTCTGTCACTGACAATTTGTGCTCCCCTTCATCCCTGTCTGTGTACTGGTGTGCAAAGGGTTATTGGAGGTTATTATCATGACAGATTCTGGCACAATGTTGGTCAATTGTAACTTGCACTTATTTTTCCCATTGAATGTTAATGTTGTCTTACCTCCTACATACAAATGCTTGTTGTTTATCACATGCCTCTTTGGTTTCCTTGTGGGAAGTGTTATTCCAAGTGCTGTTTTTCTCCTAAAGCACTAACATTAGTAAATTACATGTGTTGTTTGCACAGTGTGGGTCACCTAGCAGGATGCCTTGTAAAGGTGTTACAGGAGCGCCAACCAGAACTACACATAAACAAGAGAGACGTGCTGTGTGTCCAGATCGCAGGACTGTGCCATGATTTGGGTACGTGTGTGTGTGTGTGTGTGTGTGTGTTTGTGTCTGTGTGTCATGTTGCTTCATTCCTACAGCACTTTACAAGCTACATAAAACCATTCACAACATGAGAGTCCAAAGTCCAAATCACATACCCTCCAGGACCAGTTATGAGCTGAAGAAAGCTAGCTTAGTATATCTTTTATACCACCGCAGGGAAAAAAAAGTTGAATGCATGGAAGTTCCCTTCACCAACAAAGGGTCTGCTAAACTGCTCAGCAACTGTAGAGATAAGATATCAACCACCAAGAAGTGTTTTCAGTAGCTAGGCCAAAACAGGAAGCTGAGACTGAAATTGTAATGGGCATAAGCCCTGTCGGTAAAGAGTTTTTGCAATGCTAAATGTGTCTGTGGTTTCTGTTTTAGGTCATGGACCGTTTTCGCATATGTTTGATGGGAGATTTATGCCTCTTGCTTGCCCAAATAAAAAGTTTAAAGTGAGTCTTAATTTTCTTTTGCTTTCTAACTTGTTCAGTTTCTTGCTATGCTTTACCATGGGTTGCAATTAATGCTCATAAATTAGATCCCACGTGGCACATTTTAAAGAGGGACAATCAAGCTAATGAGAGATATTATGTATGTGTGGTGTGAGATATATAATTTATTATGTATGTATCAAAAAAAAAATCCCATAGCGCCATCCTTCACATTACATGGGGAGGCAGGTTTACTGATTGTCAGTCTCTCCACTGCTGAGGCCATAACTGTCATTAATGGCAAATTTGGGAACTATCTATCAAATTAATGGCAATATGTTGTTGTACAAACACCCACTTACACATGTATACCATCATTGTTCCTTCTTTGTCACACACGTAGGAGCACTAATGTCCTTTGTCGCACAGGACATACATGAACTCATTTTATGGATGTGATCTTTGTCTTTTTTCAGCATGAATCTGCTTCTGTGAAGATGTTTTACCACCTTGTCCAGTCCAACAAACTGGAGAGCATTATGAAGGAATATGGACTCCGCTTGCCTGAAGACCTAAAATTTATAGCGGAACAAATCTCTGGCCCTTTGTATACTGATGCAGAAGTAAATCCTTCCCCAGTAAGTAATACAAATGTATTTTATTTTTACTGTGGTTGGGATGAATCTTTCCCCGGGGGCTTGTACATACTGCAGCTTGTCTTTTGGTATCTGTTAGATCAAACCGAGGTCAGTGCAGCAAAATTTCCTTTGCAGGTCTTTTTGCGGAACTTATTGGATTAATTAAGTAAATTTTTTTTTAAAAACTAGTCATTCCAGATATCAGCCTCCTAAGGCTGTGCTGCCAACCATAATATAAACTAAGGGTCCATTCACGCTTTTCCAGTCTGTGAATGTATTAAGGCAGCCTGCTCATTTGAATTGGTTGACAACAGACCCTAAATTGTGCAGTTTATATTTTTGGTGCATGTTTACAGCTTTCTGTTGTATGTGCTACCAAATTTTGCAAGGTTACATCTGTTTGTGTTTAAAAATTAGACTCGGGAATGGCCTTATGAAGGCCGAACAGAAGAGAAAAGCTTCCTGTATGAGATTGTGGCAAACAAAACAAACGGCATCGATGTGGATAAATGGGATTACTTTGCCAGGTATTCACATATCTTGGACTAACTAGAAGACATTTTATGTATCTGTGGACAGCTTGAGCTGCAGGATGTAAGGCTAAAAAGGTTTTTCTCTGGGTTTATCCCTTCCTACTTCCCAAATCTCAATATTGGTCAGCAATGCAAACCATAACATTTAAGGGACTAGCAAAGTGCAAACCAGATCTTGGGAGGTCTGTCTGCAGAGTTCCTGAGCTTTCAGGATAGCAGGGTGCTCTCAAAGGTCGATGTATGTGCCCACACCTCAGTGTGCCTGCATTTTTATTTTTCCCTACTGTCACTTTGGTTGTTTTAAATGGCTACTGGTTTGGTTTAAAGAATAACTCCAGCTTGTAGAACAAATAACCCCTGCAGTGGGTCTGCACTGCAAGGGCTAACCGCTTGTTTTTCTCTTGGGGTGATAATAAAGAAGAAATACTTGCCCGATTTCTGGGTTCCGCCTGACTGCTAGACTTATCCCTGCAGACACTTCTCTCCGTGGCTTCAGCGGTCTAAGGACCCTTTATTTCATCATGTCTAATGCAAGTGTATTGAGCATGAAGACGTCAAGTGACATTCCACAGCCAGATCGGATGGGTGGGGAGGGGAGGGGCTTAGGTGAGCAATCACTGCCACAGGACCAAGGATTGGGTGAGTGTTCTTTATTATTGTTAACTCGTGCAGGGGGAGCCCCACTGCAAGGGTTAACTTTTTCTACAAGCTGGAGTTCTTTAATCACTGCAGCAGCCTTGATCTTGGTACTGATTTTTATAGCCAGCGAAGGCTGTCACATACAAGCATTTGTTTATGTTTTTTTAACTTAAAGGAGAACTATGAGGTGAGTAAAAATCACTCACCCTCATAGTTCGAGTCGACGTGTGACAATGAAACTGTCACACGTCGGCTCAATTGATCGGAAAGTGAGCGAACGAATACCGTCGCTCGCTCACTCACTTCTCGATCATCTCCCTGCAAAGAGCGGTGACTTCAGTTACGGCTCCCTGCAAGGATTCTCCTCTCCGATCCTCCAGCACTGACTGGAGAAACGGACAGGGGAGAGGGCGGGCACTGGCCTCTAGATAGGCAGAGCCAGCTTTCACTCATACAGCTGGGTGGATCTCGACAGTATTGTTGGGATCCGTCCCGGCTGCGTCGGTCTCAGTATACCGTGAGCTGTAGCTGGTGATATACTGAGCTTAGGGTCACGGGGAGGAAGCTAGTATATGTGCTCCCGTGACCCTAAAGAGAACTATGGGGAAAAACACTTACTCCATAGTTCTTTTTTAAGGTGAGCTCTAGATAATCATTTTATATATTGTCAATAAAATGTTATAATGTCTCACCTGTGGCAAGCTTTGGTTAAATTTTGTATGACTAACTTCTAATAATACGGTGCTATAAAACAATGAGTTTATTCAACATCAAAATAAGTACATATATATCACATTTTTATTGTTGTATAGCATCTATCAGAAGTTTATTAGCTAGATTGGAGACCTTATTGTAAAACTTAAAATGTATTTAAACCCTAACTACGGTATAAACTTCTCTTATTTGCTTCTTTTTTGCTCTGTTTAAATATACCATTGAAAGAATTTAGCTCTTGTTATGGAAATGTGATAAACCTGTTGAAGACGGTGCATCCTGTGTCGGAGTATTGCCAGTCTTTTAAAAATGCCATTTTGTGTCTGATTATTCAACATATCTCTTTTCCCGCAGGGACTGCCATCACCTGGGTATTCAAAATAATTTTGATTATAAGCGATATCTCAAATTTGTCCGCGTCTGTAAGGTTGATGACAAGAAGCACATATGTACGAGGGAAAAGGTAACTCCCTGTCCTTGTATGTACTTCATCTGTGACATTGATATATATATATATATATATAACACGATCTGAGATATTTGTTAAACACAAACCTGAGCTCTTGATCATGTACAGCATGTATGATCATCTGCCAGTGCATATGTAATATATTTAAATTTGTGTGTCTGTATATGACATATACAGTAGCGTGCAGTCGTTTATTTTTATTTTTTTTCCCTCGTATGTTTTAGGAAGTCGGGAATCTGTATGATATGTTTCATACCCGGAACTGTCTTCATCGGAGGGCCTACCAACATAAAGTTAGCAACATCATTGAGACAATGTAAAGCAATCCTTTTTTTTTTTATAAATATATTCTATGTTTTGTTTTGTTTTTTTAACCTCCTGTTTTTATTTAATATCTGCACTACACAAGGAATTTTACGAAGACTTACAAAAGTGATAAAGAAATAGCCATAAAGAGAAAAAGTGCCATAAATAGCAGTGATTCAAAACAAACTGCTTCTCATCTCTCCCCCCCCCCCCCCCCCACAATAAAATAAGGCTGTGTCTATTTAATTTCATTAAGAGTATTGAAGCTGCAATCAGTGCATAGTGGATATGATGCATAGGCGCCTGCATTGTATACATTCCATCCCCAAGTCCATGTAGAGATGCAGACCTTCTGCTATGGGGCTAGAGAAAGTAGACTATAGACTACAAATGCAGTGGGAAAGCTTTACAAAATGGAGGAGACAGTACAGTTTCAGCACAATAGGATTAGGAGGGCCTGCTCGTGAGAGCTTACAATCTAGTAGGAGGGGAAATGAAAACGTATGCTATATATTAGGGAAGCACAAATATGAAAAACAATTAATTTTATTCAGTACTCGCCGGTACTGAATACCGATACCGGAAGTCCCATTAAGGAAGCCGGTTGGCGTTTAATGACTAGCCGCCCAGCTTCCTGATATCAGAAGTTCCGGTATCAGGATAGTCATTGGAAGCATTTGGGGGCGAGTAAGAGTACCTGCCCAAATACCTGGTATCGGCACAGATACTAGTATTGTTGCATTCCTAATAATTGGTATTTAAGGTTGCACCTGGTGTAAAACGGGTTTTCTTTTAATAACATTTTTGAATATTCCTCAACACCTAACTTTTTTTGTTGTTTTATGTATATAAAAGACCTTAACTTAACGTAACCCTGTCTGTCTAAACGCAGGTCCCTGCAATAGAAAGGCTATTGTACTCCCCTCTCTGCCACTTTGTTTTCCAGTCAAATATTGTGATCATGCAGGGGGATAATTTCTCCCCTTTTTTTTTTTTCTTTTCTTTTTTTTTATTGATCTTTTATTTCTTAATACTTGCACTGATGCAGGTGCTTCATCTGGACTATGGAATGAAAGAACAGAATCCAATTAACAATGTGCGGTTTTATTGCAAGTCTGATCCGGACATCGCTGTAAAAATTATTAAAGAACAGGTAAGTTGATGATGTGTTAGGAATATTCCAATAAAGGAAATGTGACAGAATTTTATAACTGAAACCGTGTCATCTCAGGGGCGGGATTTCCTTTTACCGGGGTTTATGGGCTCAATACCTTTTTGTTCTTGTTTTACTAGTCCTAACCCTTCTAATTTTTGGATGTGTACATCATGGGTAGGCAACCTGGGCACTCCAGCTGTGGTAAAACTACAGGTCCCGTGATGTATTGCAAGATTCTGACAACCACAGGCAAAGTGTTAGAATAAAATGTAATGCAATTAGCATAAAGAAGTGTGTGCGAGAGTTTTATAATGTTATCACGCTTTGGTAAATGTGATAGTTTCTATCTCCTGATATTTGTTACTTGACATTCCCCCCTTCCCAGGTATCTCAGCTTCTTCCAGAGCATTTTGCTGAACAGATAATCCGCGTTTACTGTAAGAAGGACGACGAGAAGAGCCTGGAGGTTGCTAAAAGATACTTTGTACAATGGTGTATGGACCGAGACTTCTCCAAACCTCAGGTCTGTGATTGCGGTGGAGCTATTGACTGCCTTTGTCTTAACCTCCATGTTTTTTAGTAGGGACATTTGTTTTGCATGTAATAAAAATATTCATCAGTTTTTTTTGCAGGTCAGTGTATATGAATTATTTTGCAGTATTGGCTGAAATCAAAAGCTGGTTCTGTTTTCTCAGATTACTGGCATGTTGGATCGTTTGCTGGCATCTTGTCTCGGGGATGCCAGAGGCGAGACCTTCACCAGAATTTCAATTCTGTCCAACTGCCGGGGCTACAAAGACAAATTATGGTGTCACACTCCTCCACCGGATTCTCCATAATGTTTAATGAACGGTTATGGATTATAATTAGAAATCCTGCTGCAGGTGACTGAGGACTTTTAAAGCCCATTTCCACTTTTGCGGAGGTATTAAAAAAAAAAAAACCTATGCCAGCAATGTACACCAAGTCCACATGAAGCAGGCATATTGAGCTGATGTATATAAACACAGAAGAAGATGTCTAGTGATGGGGTCCAATGTGGAACCCACCTTAGCAACCAAACATTAAAGAGAGGGAATCCTCTGGACCCAGTAGAGGGCAAAAACAGGTCATTAATTACAGTGGAGGTGAGGTTGTAAGCCCAAGGCTTGCGGTTATGTGGTGCAAGCGGGAGGCAAACTCTGAATGCCTTTGGGCTTTACCGGACATAGTATGTGAAGACTAAGGTTGTCCTACATCTCTTGCCCTGATATGGGCACAAGAATCAGGAGGTTTGGACATGCAATTGTTAAAGCATGTAACCTATGGACGCATGGTTACAAAGAGTGACAATAAAAAACACACAATGGTTAGAGCGCACTCCTGTAGGACAACCACAGGTAGGGAGTTGATCTGCTAGGGGATGGTGTGCAAAGCTCCTCAATACAGGGGGAGGGACCCTGTGTATCACAATTCAAGACAAACAAAAACACTTTTCCTGAGGAGCGCAACTACCTATGATAAAAGTAATAGACCCAATGTGCTAAGCACTGTATGGGCACACATAGCTAGGGAAGATGCATATCAGTTAAAAATGCGGACACCCAAAAACTGGTTTGTCATGTGGAAAGAGACAAATGGTGACTTACAGTTGAGATGTGAGCCTATGTGCCCTGGTGTCTCTCACAGGATGCTCTCCAGGGTCTGTCTGATCCGATGTCCCCAGCTGGCATGTGGGAAGAGAGTGGGTGTTTGACCGGACCGGAAGAACAAAGTGTCAGCCGATGTCACCAGCTCAGCTGGCCAGGCTGAGCCGCGGCGGCTGAGACTGGAAAGCAGTGAGCTGCGATCGGCTCCGTGACCCCGGACTCTATGCGTATTGTTGCTGCGTCAGATGGGGCTATCAGCGGAGTGCACAGAGATGGCCCAGTGCGTGAGACAGTGAGTGATCTATTAGGGGGGTAGATCTTGGTGCCTGCAGGATTCGGTGGCTACGCGTTTCGAGGAGGTTTCCTCTTTGTCAAGCCACAGAATGGTACAAACCACGGGAACCCGGTTCTCCACTTTAAAACTGACAGGGGGGGAGGAGTAAACGATCAGTTCATCATGTCATAGGCTACTGCTAAAACGGGGTAGGGCTTGTGTTTTGGGTTAATCGAGGGGGATGGACTCTCATCACAAGTCTCTATCAGACTTCTAGGACATGTTTCCTCGTCATTTAGCCAGCATAGCCTGTTTGGAGGAAAGATGTGTGACAGGGTAGTGTGGCCCATCTAGAAAGTCTGGCGTATTTCTCACTTACTCAGAGGGCTCAAAGGGCAATTCAAGTGAATCCTTAGAGGTATTAGTGTTTCTAAAACGTATAAATCTTTAATATGATTGACTGAAGATAAAAATAAATAAAAACATTATGGACAATATGATCTCCATAGGGATATAAAAGGTTTAATAGAAAATTGAATTGATCAGGTTAAAACAATTTAAAAAATTGTTTTAAAATTGTTTAAAAGGCCAGCGCCAGTGTGTGCGCGGCTCGCAAACCTGCGCAGGCTGTATTCGCATTCACATCCAAGATGCACTTGCACCTATTTTCGTTTTAAACCTGCAACATTGTTGCTAATGACACCATGCTCTGCTGAAACATGAGATGAAGGGGGGGGGGGGTTTTGGAAGTGGAAAAGGGGGGGAAAATTGGGAAGGGAGAAGGGCAAGGAGCCGGATTGTTGGTAAGATGGTGCTGATAGCCTATAATCACAAAGGCCAAAATTATTTGGGGAGATGGCAGGTGCCTGAAATGAACGGCTCGGTCCTACTAAGTTCTTTACATTTTTAGCTTTTCTGAAATTGATGGCAGGATTGCAGGGTAAATTGGGGCCCAATCTAGGGTCTTTCTGTAGAATATGCCAGTGTTTATTAATTACCTTTTGGATGGTTTTGAAGCTATTGTTGAATGTAGTGATGAATCTAATGTCGTTGGAATCAGTTTGTCCATCACTCTTCCTGTTTGTCATTGGTGATGGTTTGAGATATTTGGAATAGGCGTCGGTGATAAGTTCTTCAGGGTAGTCCTTCTCTCTCAATTTTTGGAGGAGAAGTTGGCTGGATGTTATGTAATCAGTGTTTAGTGTACAATTTCTTCTCAACCTGCAGAATTGACTCCTTGGGATATTGTTTTTCCACCGGGGGTGGTGGCAGCTGTTATAATGGAGATAGGAGTTACCCCCGGTGGATTTGACATGGTTGTTGGTGACGATTTTATGGCCTATGGAGTACAACTCCAAGTCTAGAAACACCAATCGTGTGGTATTGACTTCATGTGTAAAGGAGAGTCCGAACTTATTGTTACAATGTAACAAAAATTCAGAGAGACTCTCGGGTGGACCGTCCCAAATGATAAGAATATCATCAATGTATCTACCGTAGTATGCAAGTTTTGTTAGCATAGGGGTTGTTCGTCCCGATATGGAGAGCTTCCCAATGGCCCATCGTCAGGTTAGCGTAACTCGGGGCGTAGTTGGCCCCCATGGCCGTCCCCTGTGTCTGGAGATAGAACTTTCCCAGGAAGGAGAAGTAATTGTGTGTTAGTGTGAAATTGGTGCAACCTAGGAGGAACTGGACTTGATTGTAATTTGATTGTGGATTGACTGAGAAAGAATTGTAGAGCGTTCAAACCCACTACATGGGGGATAGAGGTATAGAGGGAACTTACATCTAAGGACACCCAACTGTACTTGGGGTCCCAAGTGTAACTTGACAGAATGCTAATGAGGTGACCCAAGTCTTTGATGTAGGACGGTAATGAGAAAACTATGGGTTGAAAGAAGTGGTCTATGTACCTGGAAAGACCGCTGGTTAAGCTGTTAGTGCTTGCAATAATAGGGCATCCTGGGGGGTTGGTGCTGTCCTTATGAATCTTTGGTAAGTGGTAAAAGTATGGCGTACTGGGATGTTGTGGTTGTAAGAAGCCCTTTTCTTTTTAATTGATGATGCCTTTAGCATGGGCTGGGCCTACTAGATCCTCCAGTTCTTTAGAAAAAGCCAATAGAGGGTCTGAGGGGAGAGGTTTGTCAGAGAGTAATCTCGTAGCCTCTTGGATGTACGTGGAACGGTCCTGAATTATAATTCCTCCTCCCTTGTCAGCTTGTTTGATCCCTATCTCCTGATTCCTTTCTAAATCCTTCAGCGCTCTATTCTCAAGTGGGGAAAGATTATTATGGTGTTTTGCCTTTTTGCATACCTCCAAAAGATCCGCGTAGAACACATGGTAAAACGTGTCCACAAACGGACCCTTGGAGTGTATGGGAAAGAAAGTCGATTTGGGTCTGAAGGTGGTGTGGATGATGTCCGGATTGCAAAGATGTTCAAAGTCTAGTTCCAAAAAGGAATGCTGATCGCCTAAATCATATAGGGTTTGTTATATATCCCCGTCCTTGTCATCGAAGATGTCAACCACAAGCTTTAGTTCTGAGGGAAAACTGGGAGATGTAACAGCAGAAGGTCTTTTTGTAATGGTGTTGGAATAGTGTCTCCTAAGGGTCAGTAACCTGATGAATTTGTTGAGATCCTTAAAGAGGGTAAATGGATCAGGTTTGATGTCAGGAGCGAAATTCAAAGAGTGGTGAGTTCAGTTGGATCAAAGTGAGCAAAAAGACAGTCTCTCGAAGCTGAATAAGTGGCTGAGGTGCCACTCCCCTTAAACCATAACTAGAAACAAATGACCATAGAATGGGGGTTTTCAGGTGCAATGATATCATTTTAGTAAACTTCTTCTAAACATTCTCGTTTATTATCGTAAAACCCATTTTATACATCATATTATATCATATTAAAACCCATACATGTACATATTTTAGAAACCACCATGTGGCAGATATCCCTACAATCCTGCGGCTCTGGTCTATAGGAGAGGGTTTTCCCTGCACTGGGTGTTGCAATGAACGCCATGCAGCGAGTACAAACCAGAATAAAAATATATGGAAAAATGGACACGATATGTATATTATGTTATCATTGCGTTAATTTGTAAACTGTATTCATGATCAATTTTTGTTTGTAGCCTCAGAATCCGAATGCATCCAATCCTCCAATATGGCGCATGGGGGATTTTAGATATGTACATGTACGTGTCTTAATATTTATGACCATAGAGAATTTTTTTAGAAGTTTACTAAAATTGTACCATTGTGCCTGAAAAGCCCCATTCTATGCTTATTTGTTTGTTTCTTTTTCTGGATCAAACTGAGACTTGAATAGGAAATCCAAATGTCTATCATTATAGTCCCTAAAGGTAAAGGCCCAATCAACCACTGTGGTGTGAAGAACTGGAAGGTCCACACAAGTCTAGGACTGCTTGTCAGGGAATTTCCTATTAAAGGGACATCATCTGGAGGAAGGCTTGATTTGCATTGCAGGCTTCATAAAGGAACTTTCAAGCTTGGGGGATATAGGAAAGGTCTTTTCAGCAGCATGATCTTAAAAGACTCTATATCCAATATAACAGGTTGATCCTTCAGATGCGTAGCAAAGCGTACAGCATCATCCAGAATGGACACAACAATTTACATATCTGAATAGTCAGCAACTTGGTCAAATGCAGATTCTGTGGGAGTAGGCTATGAAGCAGTGGCATAACAATTGCCATAGCGGCCGGTATGGGGCCCGGGCTCAGGGGGGCTCGGCCAGGGCTGCCTGGGTCGCTATGGCATGTGGTGCTGGCTGTCAGACGCAGCTCAGCAGTGGCCACGGCGCATTTCTCCTCATAGCCGCTGCAGAGCTGTGTCAGTGACAGCCAGCCGCTGCGGCAGATGAGGGCGGTGTACGGAATGGAGGAGGCGGTGCCTGCCTCCTCTTACATCACTGGCCAGCGACCTAAGAGCAGGTGGGGCCAGATGAGCAAAAAGACAGTCTCTCGAAGCTGAATAAGTGGCTGAGGTGCCACTCCCCTTAAACCATAACTAGAAACAAATGACCATAGAATGGGGGTTTTCAGGTGCAATGATATCATTTTAGTAAACTTCTTCTAAACATTCTCGTTTATTATCGTAAAACCCATTTTATACATCATATTATATCATATTAAAACCCATACATGTACATATTTTAGAAACCACCATGTGGCAGATATCCCTACAATCCTGCGGCTCTGGTCTATAGGAGAGGGTTTTCCCTGCACTGGGTGTTGCAATGAACGCCATGCAGCGAGTACAAACCAGAATAAAAATATATGGAAAAATGGACACGATATGTATATTATGTTATCATTGTGTTAATTTGTAAACTGTATTCATGATCAATTTTTGTTTGTAGCCTCAGAATCCGAATGCATCCAATCCTCCAATATGGCGCATGGGGGATTTTAGATATGTACATGTACGTGTCTTAATATTTATGACCATAGAGAATTTTTTTAGAAGTTTACTAAAATTGTACCATTGTGCCTGAAAAGCCCCATTCTATGCTTATTTGTTTGTTTCTTTTTCTGGATCAAACTGAGACTTGAATAGGAAATCCAAATGTCTATCATTATAGTCCCTAAAGGTAAAGGCCCAATCAACCACTGTGGTGTGAAGAACTGGAAGGTCCACACAAGTCTAGGACTGCTTGTCAGGGAATTTCCTATTAAAGGGACATCATCTGGAGGAAGGCTTGATTTGCATTGCAGGCTTCATAAAGGAACTTTCAAGCTTGGGGGATATAGGAAAGGTCTTTTCAGCAGCATGATCTTAAAAAGACTCTATATCCAATAGAACAGGTTGATCCTTCAGATGCGTAGCAAAGCGTACAGCATCATCCAGAATGGACACAACAATTTACATATCTGAATAGTCAGCAACTTGGTCAAATGCAGATTCTGTGGGAGTAGGCTATGAAGCAGTGGCATAACAATTGCCATAGCGGCCGGTATGGGGCCCGGGCTCAGGGGGGCTCGGCCAGGGCTGCCTGGGTCGCTATGGCATGTGGTGCTGGCTGTCAGACGCAGCTCAGCAGTGGCCACGGCGCATTTCTCCTCATAGCCGCTGCAGAGCTGTGTCAGTGACAGCCAGCCGCTGCGGCAGATGAGGGCGGTGTACGGAATGGAGGAGGCGGTGCCCGCCTCATCTTACGTCGCTGGCCAGCAACCTAAGAGCAGGTGGGGCCAGTGATGTAAGAGAAGGCGGGGCCCGTCGATAGCAGAGGAGGCCGGGGATGGAACAGGAGTCGGGGCCCGGCGACCACAGAGGCGCTGACAGGTAAAAGATCTCGGACCCTGCAGAGCCCACTATCGAGAGTCTATGGTGGGCTCGGCAGAGTCACTCTCCGCTGGGGCTTTGCAAGTGGCATAACTAGCAATCACGGGGCCCCATACAAAATTTTGCTATGGGGCCCTGTGATTTCTAGTTACGCCCCTGCTATGAAGTCTGTGATTCTGAATCGGTGACAATAGGGGGACTTGGGCACTCAGAGAGAAGAACCTTTTAGAAGCAGAACTAGGTTCTTTCACAGGATACAGGTGAACAGCGATCCAAAATGGAAGTATAGAAGGAGGTCACCCAATGCAGCAGGACTGTTTCCTGAATGGAGTAACAGTAAGAAACAACTGGTCCTTATATTGTAAAGTGCTCTGCTAACTGTTGGCGCTATAGAAATCCTGTATAATAGTAATGAGGAAAGGTCTAGCTTGCTCTCATACCCAGGCAGTAGGTGCTGCTATGGTTGTAAATGGCCGGAGGTGATCAACTCGCTAAACGCACAATTTTCCAACATTTGACCGGTCGATTCGTTATTTTTTTTAATCTGACCTTCCCTGCATTGCAATGGAGCAAGACAGGAGACCAGATGATCCACAATGTGCTTCAAGTAGTGGCTAGAAAACAGCTTCAGACCCCCACACAATGATATATGTTCTGAAAGCAGAGGCCGTGTAGAACAAAACAAAAAATGCTAGTTGCAATTTTTTTTATGTTGCACGGTATTTGCACAAGTGTTTATTAAATCAGTGTTTTTAGGATAAAATGCGCGAAAATAAAATTTAGTGCACATAAACAGAATACAATACCCAATTTTTTGGTAAAATATAAAAGACGGGGTCTCGTCGGGTAAATAGATACCAAACATGTCAAGCCTTAACCACTTCAAGACCAGGTGTTTACGCCCCCTTCCTGGCCAGGCCATTTTTCACTATTCAGCGCTGCGGTACTTTGACTGACGTTTATTCCGTCATGCAACGCTGTACTGAAATGAATTTTATACCCTTTTTTGGGGACAGATAGAGCTTTCTTTTGGTGGTATTTATTCACCACTGCGGTTTTAAATTTTTTTCTATATTTCAGAAAATTTACCAAAAATTTTACGGAAAAAATTATTGCCCAATTTTTTTGTAAAATATAAAAGTCGGCGTCACGTCCAGTTAAATAGACACCAAACATGTCATGCTTAAAAATTGCGCGCACCCGCAAAAAACTACAATACCCAGAATTGACCATAGGCGACGCTTTAAAAGCTTTTACCGCTCATCAGTTTAGTGTTATCAGTGATTGGCCCTAGACTTATTGCTCTAGCTGCGATGTTCGCAGCGATATGTAACATGTGCGGTGTAATGGGCGTAATCATCGTTTTCGCAGGTATGCGCACGTTTGCATGTGTGTATGTATGGGTGGGGGCTTTTTACAAATATTTTTTTTTTGTTTTTTTTTTGTTTTTTTCTTTTTTATGTGTGACTTTAATTTTATTTTGGAAACTATTTTTTTTTGCTTTTTTTTTTTTTTTTCACTTAGCAATAAAGTTATCACATACGGGGGCTAAGAAACCCCTCTATGTGATAGCAAAAGATGTGGCAGGTCCTCTTTATGGAGACATCAGGGGTCTCCAAGACCCCACGGCGACATTTGTAACGTGTAGCGCAATTTTCGTTTTTGCACGTAAGCGCACCGACGCATGTTTTCGTATGTGAGGGGCGGGGGATTTATCTTGTGTTATTTTAATTTTATTTTTAAACACTTTTTTTGTTCACACTAACAGCTAGCAAGCCCCCCTATGTAGTAGCAGATAGGGTGTGACAGGTCCCCTTCACTAGATAAAGGGTACAATTATTTTCAGGCTCTGGTGTTGACATGTCAGAATGGAATCCCTATTGTTGGATTTGTTTATCTTTAGTTGTAACATTTTGTATGTTTGTTTGGTTTTGTAGGTGAATCCTTTCTCCCGCTGACTAATGTGAACTTGGCACATCTCTGTTTTAGGATGGTGATGTAGTAGCTCCAGATATGACCCCACTGAAGGCCAGCTGGCGTGACAAAGAGGAGGAGAATATGGATCAGCAACACACAGAATCTCAGCACAAGTCCAGAATCGACCTCACTAAACGATTTTAGCAATTCCTGGGAAATGCAAACGTTGTCAATTCCTGGCTTTCTCATGACTGTGAGTGGAGGTGGAGACCGTAAGCCATTGCAAAATCCTCACCTCTGGAGATTCTAGGAATTGGGAAGTGACAAAGCTTTGTAGACTCCGCCCATATCAAGCTTTAGTGTCAAACTGCTGAGCATATGACCTGCTTTTTTTTTTTCTCAAAGAGAATTACAGCCCAACCTTTTTGTTTTATCATAGTTCTCTTTGGGGTCACAGGAGGACATACACTAATGTCCTCCTGTGATCCAAAACTTGGCATATAGCGGGCTATTGCCTGCTATATGCTAACAGCGTAGAGCCGCGCTGCAGCTGTGACAAACCCTGACAACATTGTCTGGATCCATTCCGCTGGCTAATTGACAGCTGGTTCTGCCTCTCCTAGAGCCAGAGCTAGCTGTGCCTGCCCCCTCCCCTGTCAGTGCTGTAGGAACAGAGAGGGGAGGGTTCAATCCCTCCGGGGGGCGATGACGTAGGTCACCTCTCTCTGCAGGAAGAGGATCGGGAACTGAGCAATCAGCGGTATGTGATCGCTCAGTTCTCGATCTATAGAGCTGACCTGTGACAGCTTCAGTGTCACACATTGGCTCTAATTATGGGGGTGATTGCGTTTCCTTTTCCCCATAATTCTCCTTTTATTGCTGCTCGAGTCTGTGAAGTTTCTTGCTTTATTGTAATACAAGTAGGGGGACTTGGGGCAGTTCTTCCTTGAATAAGAGAAAGGACTTCTGGGTAATTATATTTATATTCGTAGCAGGCCTTTATGTGAATGCCCCACCTTCTGGGTGTTCTGGCGGGCTTCATTGCAGCAACGCTTCTTACCGCACATCACCAGAATGCACAGCACTCAGATTTGCGGGGTCATTCATTTATAGTGGCATCCCAGCTCACAAGTACAGTCGGTGGCGACAGACGTGCACTGCAGTGTATCACAACTCGCATACCATGTTGTTAAAGATAAAGGTCCCATTTTCCATTCTACATGAATAGGCCACTTTAATGCCCAAAGTACGGCACAGTAGCGGAATGAATACGTGTTAAAGGGGCCCTTCAAATATCGCCCTTTGTTGGCCTGTTTCAGTCGCCAAGTCTCTCCAGTACGGGGAAGATGTTTCTGGTTACCATCTGAATGGTCACCACTGACCTCATTGGGGTGCAATATACACAGAGACGTCGGCCACCATATCCCTCTTCAAAAACACTGGCCAGCTGTACAACATTGTCATTACCCAGAATCCTTTTCTCCCTGGGGGGGGGGGGGGAG